CAGCAGGAGCAGCCACTGCACTCCAGTCTGGGTGACAGAGTGAGACTCCAACCCAAAAAAAAAAACAACAAAAAAGTGCCCTGAGTGGGAAGTAAAAGGGAGGTACAGGCCATTCTGAGTTGAAGTTAGCCCCATGGGTAAATTTACAAATGTGCTGGTTACATTCAGTTGAAGCATTTAAAACCATGCCATATGATAAGAAATGTATAGGGTCTGTGAAGATTCATTTTTGTTTCCTGTTTTCAAAAGAGTTTTCCAAAAACGACAAACATTGCAGGCATATAAAATGCGGAGAATGAGAGTCTATTATAGTTCTACTCCCCAGAAATAACCACTGATAACAGCTTGATGTATAGTCCTCCGAATTTAAGCAAAATTTAGCATCTGTATTATTTACTTTTATCCTATTATAGCTCTTAAATGTTTTCCCTTATAAATCTCCCTCATTATTTTTAGAGAGTATTCCATTTTATGGCTAATTAGGCAATCATGTACTGATGGACATTTGGATGATTTCTGTTTTTCTTTACTGCAGTGCATATTGTACCTATACTTATGTGTATGCCCAATTTCCAGAAGTACAACTGCATAGTCAAAGGGTAGGAAATTTTTTTTTTTTTTTTTTGAGTTGGAGTCTCACTCTGTCACCCAGACTGGAGTGCAGTGACCACTCCCGGCCACCGCAGCCTTGACCTGCTGGGCTCCAGCGATCCTTCTGCCTAGTCTTCCAAGTAGCCGGAATTACAGGCATGCGCTACCACGCCCGGCTGATTTTTTGATTTATTGTAGAGATGAGGTCTCTCCAAGTTGCCCAGGTGGGCCTCGAACCCGCAGGCTCAGGCAATCCACTCACCTCCCAAAGCATGGGATTACAGGCTGAGCCACCGAGCCCAGCTTATTATATTAATAGCTTTAGGGTTCATGTAGTTTTTGGTTACATGGATGCATCGGACAGTGGTGAAGAAACGTGGGCTTTGCCAGGCTCAGTGGCTCAGCCTGAAATCCCAGCGCTTTAGGAGTCCGAGGTGAGTGGATTGCCTGAGCCTGCAGGTTTGAGACCCGCCCGGGCAACTTGGCGAGACCTCATCGCTACAATAAATCAAAAATTAGCCGGGCGTGGTAGCACGCACCTGTAGTTGCAGCTACTTGGAAGACTGAGGCAGAAGGATCACCGGAGCCCAGTGGGTCGAGGCTGTGGTGGCCGGGAGCGTGCCACTGCACTCCAGTCTGGGCCATGGATGAGACTCCAACTCAAAAAAAAAAAAAGAAGAAGCATGGGCTTTAAGTGTACCCATCACCTCTACTAGTGCACATTGTACCCAAAAGGTGATCTTTAATCTCTCCCCTTTTCCCACCCTTTCCTTTCTTCCAGTGTCCATTACACCATTCTATATACCTTTGCAGATACTTAGCTTAGCAAAGAATGTGCAGTATTTTGTTTTTTGTTCCTGCATTATTTCAGTTAGGATGATGGTCTCCAGTGCCATTCAAGTTGTTGCAAAAGATATTATTTCATTCTTTTTTTTATGGCTAAATAGTATTCCATGGTGTAGATGTGGATAATGACCACATTTTCATTATCCACTGGTCAGTTGATGGACATTTAGGTCGATTCTACATCTTTGCAATTGTGAATTGGGCTACGATAAACATCTGAGTGCAAGAGTCTTTTTTGTAAAATGACCTCTTGGAGTAGACGCCTAGTGGGATTGCTGGATCTACCTTTAGTGTCTTGAGAACTCTCCATATTGATTTCCATAGAAGTTGTACTAATATGTTCTTTT